GGCCTAGCTGTCCCCTCAGCCGGGCTGCCCCGCCGGCGCCGGCCCTGGCCCTCGCTCTCTGCCCCCGGCCGAGCTCGCTCCCTTTCCTATCTCCTTTCCCCGCGTCCGCCGCGCTCGCCGCCGCCTCCCGCTCTGCACCGCTGCCAGGCGGGAAAACCGCCCCGGCTCGGGCAAAAAGCCCGGGCCGTGCGGGCTGGGGGTCCCTTTGCAAGCGCTGAAGGGGGAAGCTATCCTTGTTTGTTGGGTTTTAATGTTATTTTCTTAACGCTTTTTTTCCCCCCCCCTTCAGGGAAACGCAGATCCCCCAGCGTTTCTACTGCGCAAGCAATGGACCTTATACAGTGTGACCCCACTGTACAGGTTCTCTGACACTCGCCTGAGGGATTACTCCAGGCTGCTCAGTGCTTTCATCGCTGCTGAGAAGCAGAAAGGATTGGCGGTGGAAGTAGGGGTTGAGCTGGACATCAAAGTGGTTGTCTCCACCCTTCCAGAACTGAAAGTTAGTGACCAAGACCAGGCTGCGATTCTCGTGCAGGTGAGGAGTCTTCCTAGCAGTTTTGATACGCTAAAGCCTAGGGGTGTGGAATAACTGCTGTAGTATCTGTTGAGGTTTAATAAAAGTGAGTTCGGTCTATTTTTAACTCAAGTATCTCATAAACAATGGATATGTTTAATTGCAGTTGTGAGCTCAACTCTTTGCTCCCTATAGTGTTGTTGTGATCTTTGACACTGACAAAATCAGTGTAAGACTACAGGGAGCAACCCTCTAAACTTTCAGCTCAGTAGTTAAGTTAGTGCAACAACTTAGGTAATTCAACTCCTTTGATAAAGCTGGTATAATCCTACCTCCTGACCATAGTTAGAGTCTAATTAATAGTTCTGAAATGTTTGCCTCGAGCAAAAGATGCTACTGAAATGCTGAGTTCAGTATGGCAATGGTTACAACATGTACTACGGATTGGCTTTTCTGAATTAAGCATTGTAAACTTAAGATTTCAGGACTGTTCCTAATGAAGTAAAAAGCACTTTTCCCACTGTTTTCAACAGACTTCCACATGTCTTTTAGGGATGTAATGGATAGATTGAATAACTGTATGAGTTTTACAGGAAAGAATCCTGAGAGGGTCCTGAGAAACATCTTCTCCCAAACATTTGAAATTCTAAAACAAAAACCGTCTTTGGCTAAAAAAAGTTAAACTTGCTCTGTAGCATTCACACATTTCTTTTCCCCATCCCAGCTTTCTTTGAGATCACCAGCTTCCCCCAAAAACTCAGAAGAGAAACTGGTATGGTCGGGCTGGTTCTGCTGTGTGTCTGGAGATCATCTTTCTGAGACCGTGCCAGAGGACTTCACTTGTTTACCTCTGTTTCTTGCTAATGGGGCAGAGTGTTACACATCGATTGTTGGAAGTTGGTTTCAGAAGAATTTTGACTGCTGCTTCCGCCGTTTAACCATCAGCCCTCTCAATCTCAGTTGGATGGCAGCAATGTGGACTGGATGCAAAGTGGACAATACCACATCTGCCATGGAACTCGTTTTCTCTGTGCCTCATCTACCCCAGCGTCTCGATATTTCATATGCCATTCATCCAGAGGATGCAAAAGCTCTGTGGGACACGGTCCAAAAAACTCCAGGAGAGATCACTCAAGAAGAGGTGGATGTTTTTATGGATTGCCTTTACTCTCACTTCCACAGACACTTTAAGATCCACTTGTCAGCTGCAAAACTGGTGAAAGTTTCTACAGCAATTGCCTCAGCACACTGTGATGGTATTATAAAGGTGAGGTTTTAAGTAGCATGCTGTCCTAACGCTTGAAAAATTAAAATAGCATTACCTGTCTAGAAACGCCCTACTTCTAAAAATGAAGGTTTCATGTTTCTTATGCATAATTTTCTACAAGAAGTTCTTAAACCCTTAGCTTTTATTAGTCATAATTAGTTCTGGAGTTGGGGCAGCTGTCAATATGGTATTTTACTACTGTATTGCAGCAGAAGCTACTAACCCTAGTCTTGGGCAAGAAATAGGTGTACTAGCTGCGGTGTGAACAGGAAGGTTTCTTTGCCCGTTGGCCAAAACTTAGTCTTAAAAAGATCAAAAAATTAATCAAAAAACTTTTTTTAAAATACAGTTCATTAACTTTCTAGTATTGCAATTATTAAGACACAGACAGAAGATAAATATAATTAACCCTCTATATAGAAATAACTGGTGTGTGGGTGAGCTAAGAGATGGATGATTGAGTCAAAATATCTTGCTTAAAACTACTTCACTTTTAATCCTTCCTGAAGTTTCTTCAAGGAATACAATATGGTCTTCTGAGTTAAAGATCAGTTTGTGTAAATGCAGTTGCTTAAATTTAGCCTATGATGTGCTGACTTCATTGTTCTGCGTACAGACAGAACATTAGAGGCTACAACTGGAACGCCACTCATGCACCTCTTTGCTGGGGCATGAGTTCGTCAAATGAAAGAAAATAAGTTTTGCTAGGAATCAACTCGACAATTTCAGGCTTTGGTAGGACAACTGCAAACCACTAAATGTTAAGTGTTACATTGCCTGGTTTTACCTGCAGAAGTTTAAAAGTGGCTGAAGCAACTTTTTATGTTGCAGGTAAGTACACAGAGATACTCAACTGTACAGGCTTTCTGAAGAAGGGTGTCTCATGGTATGTGTGTTGTGTAATCTCAGTTATGGCTTTTCCATAATGGCGATAACCAGTTCAAGTAAGATGTATATTCATTATGGGAAAACAGGGGTATTCATGGAAACTGGCAGTGTCTCCTTCCTGGTCTTCCTACAGGAGTAGGGAGGTAGCCGAAGGAGCAGAAGTGCTAGGATTCTCACCTTCCAAAAAAGCTGGAGTAGGAGCAGGGCATTTCTTAGGTACCCTGCTTCATGTGGGACAGGAGCAGAAGTCAGAGGGCTCTGAAAGGAGCAGCAGGTAGGCATGTGTGTGTTCGCCGTAGCCAGGGTCAAAACAGTAACAAAGGTATCTTGCAAACAGAGAAGCTGACTAATTACATGCAACACTTGGTAGTTGGTTTCCAGCCATTCAAGGCTGTGGAAATCTGGCAACCACCACTTGTTTTGACGTGCTTTTTTGTCTTTCTTGCAGTTTCTACAAAGCCAATACTTAATTGGAATGCTGATGCTACTGACGGAACTAGCAATCTCTCAGATACAGTGAGAGTCGTTTCAGCAAATCTTCACACTCAAAAGGGTTACTCTTGGAAGATGTATGCTAAAAAAACAATTGGAAACTCACTCCTGCAGCATCATTTTTCCTTTCATGCTGGCTGTCCAAAGTCAGACTCCTCCTGCAGTCAACTCCATAACTAGCTGTAATTCAACATCATACACAGCAAAGTCAAGCATTTTGCCTTTGCTACAGTACAAACTTCTAATAGCTTCTGAAGCACCTTTGTTTTATCATAGTCACTCTGTTCATTTTTGTGTAGATATCAGCCAGGGGATAGGAGATAAACTTTGCAAATTCTTGGATGCTACTTATTGAGAGGTATTTCTTGTTGTTTCAAATAATAAATTGGTTTTCACTTAACTAGATAGCCTAAGCTATACAGACTGTGACTACTCTTGGGGCAGCCTAAATGAAAAATCAAGCACACCTGAGAAAGGGTGCACACTATACAACCCAGGGCAGAAAAATCCAGGTCCCTAACCTCCTTTCTAGCTTGCTAAGGCCAGTTGGTAAGGGTCATGAAGCGTTCATCTGTGTCCTAGTTGTCCTAAGGTGAACAGCATGAGACTGATGACTGCCTTGCGTGTCCAGCCTGTTGGTCCTCTCAGACAAGTTAATACATAGGAAATTGAGGTCTGTGTATAAGGTAGACGTGTATGATACTTTGCCTGATGGTTGTAGTCTTGGATGTAATCTTGTAGGCCAGACAGCTCTCAGGGTTGGAGTTATGGGTGCTAAAATTTTATGCTAGATCTCTCCCTTGTACAGCACGTAGGAGTTCAAAGACCTAGTGCACAGTGCCTGGCGGAAAGGAAGTAGAATACATACATGCCAAGTGTTATGATTTTTGTTATTACTGTACTAAATAAATAAAATATTTATCTCTTGCCAATAGACTGATCTTGAGCAAAGTAAAGACCACCTATGCCCGGTTAAGTGTATACTTGTATGGTGCTCATTTCCAACTACAGCTTACCTGACTAAACTAATTGTTACCTGTTAAATGATTCTACAAGCAGCAAAATTTAAAGTGTATAGTTTCCTATACAATTCACTTGTAATAGCTTCGCATTTGTGCATCTTTTCCCCTAAACAGGGATGCAAGTTTTCCCTTCTTTGCCCAACCACATAATTGCAGGATTTATTTGTCAGCTGTCACTAAAACCATTCTTTTCCCCAGCGACATTGAGGTGAACCAGCTATGCAAACATGTAATGGCCTAACATGATGTAATTGCATGCCTAGTTCCTAATCTTTTAATAATCTATTTCCAGAATTAGCCAAAGAAACATGGATTTGGTTTTAGTTTTTGTTTACAAGTTGAAGATGGACTATTTTTGCTTGTAAAGGTTGCAGTGATATCTCTTACCCTGGTAGAAGCAACTAAGCAATCTTCTGAAGGTCTTGACAGCTCAGCAGCTATTTAAACTATCACTTCTGGCGCTTTAGTTTCCTTTTATGAAACATCTTAGATAAAGTTTGCTATCTTGATTCAGAGGAACACTGGGTAAAGCAGAAGTAGGAGGTCTGACATAACTGGCACCTGTATTTGATTTGAAAACAGGACACACCCAGGGTTCGCTTTGTTTTGAATCTAATGCTCAGTTCTTTCCAACAAATTTGCATAAATCTCTAAAAAAACTAAATTCCATATTGCCTCTTTTAACCTCTTCCTTGCCTTAAGAACACAGACTAATAGCACATGCAACTCCAGTGGAGTATGTGTATGAACTACAGCCCCGCTCAGCTTTCAGGAGTGACACTTTGCTATGTGTGTGTGGTATCTACTACAGCCTAGCTGTAAGGCACTGATGGAATGAAGAGCTAGTTGGGGTTGGTTTGGTTTTTTGTTTTTTTTGTATTTTTACACGCTTATTTACAAATTGGGGTATTGCCCTCATTGATAACTGCAGTTAAGTGAACAGAACTAGATTTAGCCAGAGTGCAGATACTTTCTTCCAGAAAAAGCTGGTTTTGAATGATATGCTTCTATGCACTTGAGGGTAACACTAAACAGTGCAGTTTTAAACCAATTTTACTTGGACTGGTATCCTGAAAAAAAAAAAATTCAACCAGCACACAAACTATACAAAAGCATAGTCCACTGCTTTCACCCAAAGGAACAAACAAGAACAGCATAAAAGAAATTTATTAAGATAGCACTATTTATACAAGTTACTCATGCTAGAAAAAAGCATAAATGATACATGTAAACATTTGTTTACAGAATACTTGTTTTCCTTGTAAAGGTGCAAATGATCTTCATATGTAAACACAAGAATACCGACCTTTAGGGGAAAAGGGGCTTTTAAAAAAGTTTAATGACCCATTTATTACTGTAGTGTAATTTTTACTATATTCAAGCACATTAAAGTCTGAGTTACATGAATCAAACTATGACGTTAAAGAACTTAAGATGTCAGCACTGTCTTTTTCATCCCAAGAATCTACAGTCATCTTACTCTTTTAAAGTCAGATTTAGTAAGGTCCAAACTTATATCAGGTGCAAAAGGCCATTCTTTCATAATAGACAGAAGTTACAGTACAAACATATCAGAATCTTTGAGTCTAAAGTTCCTCCTTCCTCTCCCCCCACCCCTGGGTGCCTCCACAGTCACCAAAACATGACAGTTACTCACAGTGCCAGCAAATAGTCCCTCCCCTCCAAACTTTTTAATGAGCCTCATACCTTTCCCTGTTTTAGAACACACAGGGAAAGTACATAAAAAAAAAAAAAAAAAATCACTAAAAGGGAGGATACCATCTCATCATGGTCAATGTTTCACAACAGGAATTCTAAAGACACAGACAAGAGGCAGGAGGGCAGCTAAGATGATGCTGGTCTGAGCTTTTTTCAGCGGGAGCTGACTGCAGGTCTGCCGTTCTAGCAAGAACCTGAGAAGTGAGTGTTGATCTAGGCTAGTCAGAAATAACAGATACCTGCATCCCAGCTTCAGACAAGAACTGATATCTAGCAGGCAACGTGAGAAAAAGGTTTTTATAAGTAAGCAACAACTAGTCATTTCTAGGTTGACATACAGGGGAGGGGAGAGACAAAAGCTGAACTTTTGTACCATACACTGTACAGTAAAAAGGCATCATTTGAAATCCTTTTCACTCTCACCCTTTTTGGGCACTTCACTGATTCAGTCGATAGATGAGAGTTCCAGTTCTACTTCTTGCCTCCAGCAAGACTGAAAAGATATTCAGGGCACCCATCCTCATAGCTCTCCTGTACTCTAAGAGACCCTAAAACATACCACAAGGGTTGGAACCACAATAGCTGGCAGGACGTAGCCCTGCCCTAACCACCAGCTTGTCAAAACTCAAATCGCACACGCACATATACATATATCTTTAAAATACATATATATATGCACACATATATATGTATATAAAAAGCTGGAATTATCGCTGTGAGCGATACAAAGAAAATACATGATACAAATTAAATGAAAAAATAAATATACTCTGTGCACAGAAAAGCTTCTGTGCAAAGGTGGCACCTTGCAGGTCAAGTACTTTTTTGAAGCTCTCTGTAAATAAGGCAAAAGCAATGTTTTCTGTATCACTTTCCTCTTTCACCCACCACACAGCTGCCACATCCACTGCTCACAGCAGGAGGGAAAGCAGGAAACCCTCCTCATTGCCAGACTCCCAGTATAGCACGTGGTCTCTACATCAGCATTGTTTACGCTACAATAACTTTTACAGTTTGGTTTATTCAGAAATGTAGACTATTTAGAAAAAATACGGACATAAGCAACACTTATACTTTTGTCCAGTGGTTCCCTGGAGTCTGACAATGTGGTCTCCCATCGGGCACACTCACAGAAGTCATTTTTATAATTCCATAGAAAGAGTCACTGGCAAAGAGTTACATTGGATCTAGACCGTGCATACTAGAGCTGCAAAGAGGTCCAGTGTCAACAAGTCTCTTCAGTTTTTCTAGGAATGAGAACCAAGGGGTCTCCCTCCCTCTTGATGCTTACCATATATGGGATTCACAGTGTGTCATTTTGATAACACCTACTCCTCCTCCCAGCCGCCGATAGTTCATGCCACCATACAACCTGCAAAGACAAGGTTTCAGTGGTCACACTGGTTCAGCTCCTTCATGGAGCTACCATGGGGAAGACTGTGCTTACAAGGGCTGGTTCAATTACACCACTGTTAACATCTGGTTAAAGCAGAGCATGACAAATAAGTTGGGCAGCAGTCATTTTATATACTTCCAAGGTAAACAGCTGTATTTGCTCATGCCTTTCTCTCTCAAAATAGAAACTGCTTCTCATTTTGACACCACAGTTTTCTGTTAGTTGAGTGATCACTTACTTTTTCCCTGTCTGCTAATGTGCAAGATAGAAAAGAACTTTGCAGGCTGCAGCTGACCTTGGGCTACATTTTGGGTAACACAAGAGCAAGGATAGGTTTGCTACTTACAATTCAACTAGTTTCTTTTATATTTCCAATGCCCTAAATTCAGCTGATATAACAAAGATGTAACACACCCCAAGCACCATCTGTTTCTCCAAAATATGTTATTGAAATGGTGCCTGCATTTCATATGGAAATCTGATCCCTATAGACGCCAGCATCCTACTCACTTCAGCTGCATATTCCCCTCTGTGCCACTGAAGTCTGCTGGCAGAAACAGGAGAAGGAAGTTCTTCAAACAACTCCCACCAATGCAATTTGTTAAACCCAAATTGCATCAGAAGCATTTCTCAGTCAGGCTACACACACAAAAAAAAAAAAAAATATCCTTCACAGAGCAAGAAGTTCAGTGAACAAAAGAAAGAGAAGGCCATAGATGTTGATCAGCTGTACTGAATGCAGTGGGAGAAAAAGCCCACAAGCTAATACCTTGAATAACCTCCTAAACTTCTGTGAATGCTAGTCTAGGCAGCAACTTCTAACTCTAGACATCTTATTACTGTTACTGTCACTGAAAGTAGCTGAAACCATGCAGCTAATGAATATGAAGT